GCAAGCCTTTGCTGCCAATGACATCATGGCATTTCGGTGGCATGACAAACGTGATGTCACATTGTTGACCTCAGTTCACCGAAACAAAATGGCACACAGTGGCAGGCACAACAGACACACCAATGAACCCATTCTAAAGCCTGCAGCTGTCGTGGACTACAACCTCAATATGCGCTTAGTGGACAAATGTGACATGCAGATAGGGTTTGCTGATTGTGTACGCAAGAGTTATAAGTGGTATATAAAACTTTTTTTCCATCTTGTTGATATCTCCATGCTAAATGCTTATAACATATACAAGTTGAGGACCAACAAAACACCACAATATGGTGATTTTTGTTTGTCAGTAATCAGACAAATAATTGCAAAGCACCAAGGAGCAACATCTGCAATAGACCAGTGCCCACGAAATTACCAACACACGCCATCTCGTTTCAGGCCTGGTGATCACTACCCCATACAACTGCCTCCTACTACTGCCAAGAAAAATGCTCAGAAGAGGTGTTATGTATATACACATACCACAAAACGCCCACAAACACGCAGACACACTCGTTTTATGTGTGAGGAGTGTCAAGTGCCACTCTGTATATACCCATGTTTCAAAGAGTTCCACAAGCTGCAGCAGTTCTAGGAATGTGTTCAGTAACTGTACATATGTATATATGTTATGGAACAATAGTAATAAACTTTTTTTTTTTTTCAACAAGTCGGCTGTCTCCCACCGAGGCAGGGTGACCCAAAAAAGAAAGAAAATCCCCAAAAAGAAAATACTTTCATCATCATTCAACACTTTCACCACACTCGCACATTATCACTGCTTTTGCAGAGGTGCTCAGAATACAACAGTTTAGAAGCATATACGTATAGAGATACACAACATATCCCTCCAAACTGCCAATATCCCAAACCCCTCCTTTAAAGTGCAGGCATTGTACTTCCCATTTCCAGGACTCAAGTCCGACTATATGAAAATAACCGGTTTCCCTGAATCCCTTCACTAAATATTACCCTGCTCACACTGAGTGTGAGTAATAAACATTGTTTTTTATTGTTTGTGTAAACAAATTTTATACACAAACTAATAGCGATAAAGTTTGTTCAGTTATTGTGTTGTAAACAATGAGTGTATATTTGAACAATGCACCTTACATTGGTCTCACAGGCCACATAAGTTACTTGGAAAAGAAAAATATTGGAAAATACAGGAAACTTTTGAATTAGAGTAAATAAAAGAATGCTGGGTGGGCGGCAGTCGCCGCTGTTGCCGTACGCACCTCACTTTCTGCCAACTTTTGGGGTCTTCTCGGTAATATGATGGCAAAATTTTTTTTTTAGGCTTAAAAACTCAGAAAAAAAATCCTAACATTTTAAGAAAAAAAATTTTTTTTTAAATATTTTGCGACAAAAAAGCAGTTTCAGAAAAGGGTCTGCGACAGTCAAAGGGTTAATAGCGTCAGGCAAGGGTCCACTGTACTGCTCACGTCTCGTCCTACATCAAGACTACAAAATTTTAAAGTAATTCTATTGTTTCTGTATGAAAAAACTCTATTTAAATCTTTAATCTTTCGGGTCGAAGGCCCTTCGAGACTTGTTCCAGGTCGGCCAAATTTAAAAAAAAAAAAAAAATTTTTTTTTATGAAAGAGAGAATTTTTTCCCGCCATAATGCACCAAAAGTATGAAATTTTGATGGAAACTTAGGAAATTTTGCTCTCGCAAAGCCCGGGTCTCGACGTTTTTACGCATCGGCAATTTTGCCTACTTTGAGTTATTCTGGAAATTCCCAATGTATTGTCAAACAAAAATCATAACTATTTCGCTAGAACTCCATTTTTTTATCGTGAGTACAAGAAACCACCTTTTTACAATTTAAAAATTCCAAACAGTGGTCGGAATTTATAAATTTTGCCTTTTTCACCCCAAATTTCAAAAGATGCCAATTTCCGAATGGGTCAGAAAAAAAGAAAGACATTCCCTGGCACTAAAATAACATTTCCTTGTTCATTCTGGTCCCCATCCCCCTCTTACATTTTTTTGTTTTTCCACTTTAAATTTTTTATTCTCACAAAAATATAGAAGATTTACTGTTTGCGACATTGCTTTGGTGTAAAAATGGTTAAAAATAATATCAGCCATTTTTTTTTTTATTTTTTTTTTTATCACAGGGCCCGATTTCCCAAGGGGGTGGCCCAAAAAAAAAAATTTTCACCATCATTCACTCCATCACTGTTTGCCAGAAGGGTGCTTTACACTACAGTTTTAAACTGAAAAATTAAAACCCCCCCTTCAGAGTGAGGCACTGTATTCCCTTCCCCCCGGACTCAAGTCCGGCCTCCCGGTTTCCCTAAACCCCCTTCATAATGTTATTTTGCTCACATCCAACAGCAAGTAAAAAGTTTTAAAAACCTTTGTCCCCATTCCCCCTATAAAACATGCTACGCATGCCTGCGGGAAAGTCCAAGCCCCTGCACACAAAACCCCTTTCCCCCCCTCCAACCTTTCCCAGGCGACCCTACCCCCCCTTCCCTTTCCCCTACGACTGATACACTCTTGAAATCCTCGTTTGCTCCTTTTCTCTACAGCCCCAACCACCTCAACAACCCTTCCTCACCTCTGGACAACAGTTTTGGTAATCCACACCTCCTCCTAACTTCCAAAATACAAATTCTTGCATTATTTCACACCACCATTTCCCCCAGACGACATTCCACTGCTCCCGCCTTCTCCTCGCTGCAACATTTTTCACCCAGCTTCACCCCATATAAGAGGTTGGGAAAACTATACTCTCATCATTCCCCTCTTTGCCTCCAGGGGGCAAAGTTTTTGGTCTCCCCAGACTCCCAAGTGCACCCCTCACCCCTTTTCCCCCCATAATTCATGATTCACCCATCTTTCATAGACCCCTCCCCTGCACTCCCCCCCAAAATATCTGAAACATTCACCCCCTCCCAAATTCTCCCCCCAATCTGATATCCAATCTTTATCACCTAAATTTTTTTTCCTCATAAACCCTTCTTTTCCTTATTCACTTTTATTTTCTTCTTTTGCAACCCCCCAAAATTATCCACCAAAACTCTGCAACTTTCTTTAGAATCTCCCAAGAGCACAGTGTCATGCAAAGAGAACTGTGCAACTCCCACTTTTGTGTGTGATTCTTTATCTTTTAACCCGCCTCTTTAAGACCCTGCATTTATTTTTTACAACCCCATCTAAAATATATTAAAAAACCCAGTGACATCACCCTTTCCCTTTTTAAGGCCCACTTTTTTGGGAAAATTTCCCCCTTTCCCCATATCTAATGAGCCCCACTATCCCCGTAAAACTTTCCCTGCTTTCAGTAAACCCACCCCCTACACCCTACACCGCAAAAATTTGCCCATTGCCCCCCCATCCACCCCGTATTGCCTTTTCCCAAAAACCATAAATGCCACAAAAAACCTCTTTAGCCCTTTTCTAAATTTTGTTATTATATATTTTACTGTAAACACCCGGTCCACACACCCCCCACCTTTCCTAAAGCCTCCTTGTTCATCTGCTATCCTATTCTCCGTCTTACTCTTAATTCTTTCAATAATAACTATCATACACTTTACCAGGTATACTAAACAGACTTATCCCCCTATAATTTTTGCACTCTCTTTTGTCCCCTTTGCCTTTATACAAAGGAACTATGTATGCTCTCTGCCAATCCCTAGGTACCTTACCCTCTTCCATACATTTATTAAATAATTGCACCAACCACTCCAAATCTATATCCCCACCTGCTTTTAACATTTCTATCTTTATCCCATCAATCCCGGCCGCCTTACCCCCTTTCATTTTACCTACTGCCTCACGAACTTCTCCCACACTCACAACTGGCTTTTCCTCACTCCTACAAGATGTTATTCCTCCTTGCCCTATACACGAAATCACAGCTTCCCTATCTTCATCAACATTTAACAATTCCTCAAAATATTCCCTCCATCTTCCCAATATCTCCAACTCTCCATTTAATAACTCTCCTCTCCTATTTTTAACTGATAAATCCATTTGTTCTCTGTAAAGAGAGTAGTAAGGGAGAAAAAGTTAGCATATGAGAAGTTTTTACAAAGTATAAGTGATGCAAGGAGGGAAGAGTGTATGGAGAAAAAGAGAGGTTAAGAGAGTGGTGAAAATGTAAAAAGAGAGCAAATGAGAGAGTGGGTGAGATGTTATCAACAAATTTTGTTGAAAGTAAGAAAAAGTTTTGGAGTGAGATTAACAAGTTAAGGAAGCCTAGAGAACAAATGGATTTATCAGCACACTTGTGAAAGAATATTAGACTCACCAGTTGACGTGTATTGGACGCATAGCATGATTTGTTTACTTTTGAACTTTGGTAAAAATCGAACATTTCTGCTACTTTGAGCTCAATTTCAAGGTAGTTTTCTTTATAAAACCAGTCAAAATCATTTCAATTTCTGTAATATGTCTTCCATTCTATAAAATGAGACCAGGAAAACTAGAATACAAGAATAAATACCATACGAAAATACAGTGCAAAGTCGCTGTTTTAATCCAAAAACACAGTCAAAGTTTTTTCTTTTTCATTATGCACTGTGTGCTGCAGGATTTTTTTTTATACTGCACACACTGACCACATAGACCCATTTTTTCATATGTAGGCCTACCAGCTTTTCTCACTAGATTTGAGGGTGCTAGAATTTAGGCATACTAGTACGTCGAAAACCCTAGTGCGTAAGCCGTACTAGTACGGCCGAAACCCTGAAAGGGTTAAAAAATGTATTTTTTGCTAATATTTTTGGATGTCTGAAACGGATTAATTGGATTTACATTAATTCTTACGGGAAATATTACTGCAGTTTTCAGCCTTTTCGGTTTTAGGCCAACCTACTAGAATGGTTTACAGCCGATAACCGAGGGTCCACTGTACATTAATAAGTTAAAGAAAACAATGTAATTTACATACTTAAAATAAATTTTATAACACACATGATTCAAGGGACCAACAACTTACCGTCTTTCATAGTCAAAATCTCTCTGATCATGGGATGCACGCTCTTCAAACTTCTCATGGTATGTAGTGCGTGCCCAACTCTCACGATCGCGATCTCTTTCCCTATAGTTTCCTTGTGATCCACGCCCCCGATACCTCCTGCAACATATTAGTGAATTAAAACAAAATTACAACGATAAGAAATTTATTAAGGGAGACACTTCACCACCGGTGGCTTTTTCAGTCCTAATGCGGACTGGTAAAATCACAGTAGTATATAGTGAAAAGTCAGGTGTGACCCAGAAAGACAAGGTCATTGGGGGTGAGGGGGAAGATCACCACTCATTAGAGACTAGCAAGGCTGTGTAGTGCATGAGTGATAAGAGTTGGATTTGAGAGACCTGCTGTATGTGAGCCAACAGGCATACAGAGTTTTATGGCCGTGTTTGAAACCTACATCATCGAGGCTTCTAGGCACTGACATCCAAGTAAATCACTCTTAGAAGCTTATTTCTGCCCCTTCCCCCAACCAAATGGTGTGACTGTGTGTTTGACAAACGGTGTTCATATAATGGTTGCAGGAATATCCGAGTTCACCATGTGGTGGTCAATGCTTCTGTTTCCCCTATTTAAACCTCATTCCAAGTAAGGCATCCTATACACACCAGCACAAGCTAGCTGGTTTCAGCTTAACCAGATCAATGATGGTAGCTGTGGAACTGGTTGCTACTCTTATGTGGCTGTCTATCTGAGCTGGACAAATGTTGATGACCAAGCTACTCTACTGCTTTTAGTAACGACTACCTATTCCATACATTCGCAAAATCTGCCACATTGCTTCCCTATACACCCTACCAGGTATCTTTTCTCTATAAATATAACAAACACTTTCTTACCCTTATCTATGTAGTACGTATTCACTCATATTAATATAAATACCTAGTCTACATCACTTACCCCTCCTAAATTCTCTTTGTACTTCCCAAAACCTATTTTCCACTTAGCTCAAACTCTAAATAATTACAAAGTATACTCAACAGACTTCATTCTCCATAGGACTAACATTCTATCTTCTTCCTTTTTTGTCATATACAAAGTAAGCATACATACTCTGCCAATCGTTAGGTATCTTCCCTTCTTTCATCCATACATGGAATAAATACACCATCCACTCCAAAACCAAATCCCCACCAAATCCATACGTACCAGCTGCTCTACCTGGTCCCTTTCATTCTACCCACTGCTTTGCATACTTTCTCCATGTCTACTTCTAGCTCATCCTTACTCCTATAGTAAGTAAATTCTCCTTGCCTAATGCATGACATCACTACATCCCTTTCATCAATAACTTTTAACAATTCCTCAAAATAGTATCATTCTAGACCCTCCACTTTCTCTCTTAACTTATTAATCTCGCTTAGCAAAATTTGCTACGAAGACTCACCCATTTTGTCACTGGCTCTCTTTTTGCACTCACCAGTGTTTTAACTTTTTTCTTAATAGTATATACTAAACTCTGCTTTCCACATATTATTCCTATACTGTGAAAACTTCTTGCATACTAGCTTTTCTCCCTGATCACCCTCTTCAACTCATCATTCCACCAATCCTTCCTTTATCCATCTGCACCCATCCTCCTAAACCCATAAAATTCTGAACACACTAGCAGTGAATTCTTAAATCTATCCCATACCGTTTCTCTGGTCCACCTTTGCCTCAATAGTTGCTTACTTTTTTTTTTTTACCACAGGGTATAACAAGGTTAGGATAAGGGTTCCTAACTATTTACGAGTTAAGAGCTGTTACCTACATCAGCTCATTTGAAATCCTTTTTGTTATTAAACATACAAGTAGGGAACAGGATGAAGTTAGAGCCATCTGTGTGCCAGCATTTTCATTTAATCAACTGATTTTATCTCACTGATATCATTATGCTATATAAACATGTTCCAGACTTGAGTCATCCTGGGAATAAATGATCTCAGATAAAGTAATGTTCTAGAGAAGGGTAGTCAAAGTGAAGTTGCTGTTTGATGCCAGTCTCGTTGTATAGAAGCTCACTTCTCACTGTCCTTGGAGTGGAGCCAAGTGTGGTACTTTGACAGTGTTGGCCTTAATATGACAGTGAGGCCTCCCACCTCTCTCTGGTGTTGAGGGCTCTGTTGAAATGACAGATCTATCTAGACTGGGTCCAGGCAACAGATAAGCCATCTTGCTCTGTTCTCTACTCCGTCAAGCAGTCACAGATGAGATGGGGAGCAAGCAACCCAGGAAAGTGAAGCATACTCAAGGTGTGAGCGTACTTGTACCTCGTACAGAATCTGCAACCTCTACTGTCAAGCAGATGCGAGTTATGTCTAAGTGCTGAAAGCTTCCTGGCTGCCTTGTTTGCAAGATTTACAGCATGGTCAATCTGAAGTCAAATTTCACCCCAAGGATATCAACTTCATCCCCAGGTACCAATGCTCTCCCATTCATACTTACTACTGCTCCAGCATTACCATCCTGGTGCCTAGGGACCATCATCATTTGTGTTTTCTCAGGAGCAAATGTTACTTGCCATCAGTTTCCTCAGGCTGATATAGCTCTTAGCTGGTGATTGATGTAGCTTGAGTGGCTGGCATTTCCTCTCTTGGATAAGTAAATGTCAGAGTACAGTTGTCTGCATATGCATGGGATTCTGGGATGAGATGAAGGTCACTGAAGTAGACATTCCATAACAATGGCCCAAGCATGCTTCCCTGTAGAACACTTGCCACAACTTAATGTCTTGCTGACTCCATCCCACTGAGAACTACATAGAGAGATCTGCCTTGCCTCCTCTAATTCCTTCATTTTTGCTTCCTCGTAACTATTAATGCCATTCTCCTTGTACAATACTTCATCTACCTTTTGCTATAGCTATGAGAAGTCAACCCATTCATCATTTATCTACTAATGCACAGTTCAGTAAACAACTGTCACTGTGCCCAATATCATGCATACTTATTTATCCTCCTCCTCTTTTAGTGCAAGTATCATTTATAACCACACTTCTGTCTATATGTAATTCAAGTACAGGCCCTCCATTATTTACCCCAGGCATTCCAAATTTACCTATTGTGCAATCTAAAAGTCTCCCACTGTGGCATTTAGATCTCCCACAACACTTATTCTCTCACTTGGTTCAAAACTCCCTTAACATTAACTTAACACCTATAAGAATCAATCAACCTTTACACATCTTTCACCATTCAGGCACATAAGCACATTCTATATTCCTCATATCCCACTGTTATTCCAATAGTTTTTAAAATTTTAAAAACACCTTAAAAAATATGTAAACAAGGTAGGGTGGCCCCAAAAAATAGAAAAACTTTCACAGAATTTATGCTCCCATCACATTTCAGATAACCCTCCAAACTGCAACATATTTTACACCTTTCAAGTGCGGGAACTGCATTCAGTCAGGCTAACCAGTTTCTTCGAATCTCTGTGTGTATTTTTATCTTGCTCACACTCCAACAACAGTTGAGTTATAAATGCCATTAGTCTCCACTAATGAACACATAAAAGCTTGATGGAAGGTGAAGCTCTTAGAACTCAAAAGTAACTTTACCCCCTGCCTCCAACCTTCCCTGGGTCAACCCCTAGCCCTCATTCCTTCAAGCTCATACTTTTAAACCTCATACATATCCTACTCTGTTCCATCCCCTCTAGATGCACAAACCACTACCATAACCTCTCCTCAAACCTTTGAATAATACTTTTGGTATCCCCACATTGTCTTCTTTTTCTCCAAGCTTCTAACATGCTATCTCCATTGCCTCCAGCCTCCTCCTCGATGCAATGTTTATATCTTAGACTTCAAACTCATGTAACAGTACTGGCACCATATTCTGGTACATTCCCCTTCTTGTCCCCAAATGATCAAGTTCTTTATCTCTCCAGATGCTCAACCCCCAGCACACCTTTCCTCTGGTCTATTCCATGGTTCACCTATTGTGCACAGATCCATCTGCTAACAAGTACACTCCTAATTATCTGAAAATATTTACTGTCTCCATACTACCTCTCCAGTCTGATATCCAGTCTTTCATTGCCTAATTAATTTTTTACTCATCTTTTCTTCCCTACGATCATTTATAATTTCCTTCTTTTACATATCCTCCCAAATTCATTCAATAACCTTAGCAACTTAATCAATCTTCCTAAAAAACAGCATCATTGGCAAAAGGCAGCTGTGACACCTCCCACTTAGTACTGAATCCTGTTACCTTTTTAATCCCACATCCATTCCAACACCTCAGGCTTTAACTTCTTTTACAATCCCATCTATGTTGAATAAGATTCAGTCTAAAGCCTATTTTTACTGGAAAATCTCCCTCTCTCCTGCATACCCTAACCAAAGCTTCACTCACCCAAAATTTTTTATTGCTCCTAGTAAATACTACCTACTCCAACAACAAAAAAAGTTCCTTACCTTTATAGTTGGAAAAGTAAATAAAAAAACTTACCCATCTCTATCTGATCTGTCATAAAAGTCTTCGCGCCCTCGTGAATCAAAACCCCTTTCTGGGCGTTCTGGCTTCTAAACCCTATCGGGCGATCTATCGCTCTGTCCGCTCTCCTCTATCGGGTCGCTCAACTCTTTCAGAACGATCACCGATATTCCCTCGGTCTGAACGTTCAATCCGGTCTTCCCTGTCATCCCGGTGACGTTCAGCTGAAGGTACACTGGCAGGACGATCGTCAATTTCACCAGAGGTATCACTGTCAGTTCTCATGCGTCTCTCTTTCACAACTGGAAACACAATGCACATTGACTGGATAATGAATCTGCAGAGGTCAGTCTCAAGCAAGTTACTATTTACTAACCAAGACATAATAAGATTTTACAATGATAAATACCATTAGGTAACAATACCTACAATAACACCTCTACATTTTAAGACAACTCTTGCAGCCCAACTTTCAACTATGACTACACCATTCGGTCATTTAGCCACCTTGAAAAATAATAATATAATTACTATTATTATTTTGGAAGGCATTAAATCTGTAAGAGCCATAAACAGCCCTTCTAAATTAAACAGTAATCAGGTTTGATCCAGGGATATAGATCTGATAAACTATTTTTCATATTTCACCATAACACTTCTTTTAGTATCTAGTAATACAGGAGGGCCCCGCTTCACAGCAATTTGCACTTGGCAGTTTTCAATTATATCCACTGTTTATTACGTTCAGTGCTTCTTCCACCTTTTTGGCATTTTTTCCGCCTGATGTGCTCAACAGCCAAGCCATTTTATTCTCAGTGATTCTGTCCGTTTACAGCACGTGTCTGTGATATAAGCAACTACGTATTGGCAGAGAGGTGGGCTAGTGCAATATATGGGTGGGTGGGTTGGGGGGGGGGGGGTTGAAGACAGTGTTAAGAATGTAGGGCAGAAGTTTATAGCTATAGGATGGGTGCAGGAGGAATGAGGAGTGATTGGTGGAATGAGGTAAAGGATGCAATAAAAGAGAAAAAGGTCGCTTATGAGAGGTTTTACAAAGCAGAAGTGATATAAGAAGGGCGGAATATATGGAGGGTAAAAGAAAGGTGAAGAGTGGTGTGTGCACAAGGAGAGCAAATGACAGTGGGTGAGGCACTGACAACAAATTTTGCTGAGAATAAGAAAAAAATTTGGAGTGAAATAAACAGGTTAAGAAAGCATGTATGGATTTAGGAAAGGCATATGATAGAGTGGATAGGGAAGCAATGTGGAAGATGTTGCAAGTATATGGAATAGGTGGTAAGTTACTAAATGCTGTAAAGAGTTTTTATGAGGATAGTGAGGTTCAGGTTAGGGTGTGTAGAAGAGAGGGAGACTATTTCCCAGTAAAAGCAGGTCTTAGACAGGGATGTGTAATGTCACCATGGTTGTTTAATGTATTTATAGATGGGGTTGTAAAAGAAGTAAATGCTAGGGTGTTCGGGAGAGGGGTGGGATTAAATTATGGGGAATTAAATACAAAATGGGAAGTGACACAGTTACTTTTTGCTAATGATACTGTGCTTATGGGAGAGTCTAAAGAAAAACTGCAAAGGTTAGTGGACGAATTTGGGAGTGTGTGTAAAGGTAGAAAGTTAAAAGTGAACATAGAAAAGAGTAAGGTGATGAGAGTATCAAATGATTTAGATTAAGAAAAATTGGATATCAAATTGGGGAGGAGGAGTATGGAAGTAGTGAATGTTTTCAGATATTTTGGGGAGTTGACATGTCAGCGGATGGATTTATGAAGAATGAGGTTAATCATAGAATTGATGAAGGAAAAAAGGCGAGTCGTGCATTGAGGTATATGTGGAGGCAAAAAATGATATCTATGGAGGCAAAGAAGGGAATGCATGAAAGTATAGTAGTACCAAACACTCTTATATGGGTGTGAAGCTTGGGTTGTAAAGCTGCAACGAGGAGGCAGTTGGAGGCAGTGGAGATGTCCTGTCTAAGGGCAATGTGTGGTGTAAATATTATTCAGAAAATTCGGAGTATGGAAATTTAGGAGGTGTGGAGTAATAAAAGTATTACTCAGAGGGCTGAAGAGGGTTTGTTGAGGTGGTTTGGTCATTTAGAGAGAACGGATCAAGTAGAATGACATGGAGAGCGTATAAATCTGTAGGGGAAGGAAGGCGGGGTAGGGGTCGTCCTCAAAAAGGTTGGAGGGAGGGGGTAAGAGAGGTGTTGTGGGCGAGGGGTTTGGACTTCCAGCAAGTATGCGTGAGCGAGTTAGATAGGAGTGCATGGAGACGAATGGTATTTGGGATCTGACGAGCTGCTGGAGTGTGAGCAGGGTAATATTTAGTGAAGAGATTCAGGGAAAAATGGTTATTTTATATAACCGGACTTGAGTCTTGGAAATGGGAAGTACAATGCCTGCACTCTAAAGGAGGGGTTTGAGATATTGGCAGTTTGGAGGGATATACAGTGGACCCTCGAATTTAGTAGTTCCATTTCTGTATGCAAAACTATTTTTATTTATAAAAAGTATTTTTTGTTAATATTTCCCATAAGAAATAATGTAACAAAAAATACATTTTATCAATAAAAATAGTTTTGCATACAGAAATGGAACTACTAAATTCGAAGGTGCACTGTATTGTGTATTTTTATACGTATATACTTCTAAACTGTTGTATTCTGGGCACCTCTGCAAAAACAGTGATTATGTGTGAGTGAGGTGAAAGTGTTGAATGATGAAAGTATTTTCTTTTTGGGGATTTTCTGTTTTTTTGGGTCACCCTGCCTCGGTGGGAGACGGCGGACTTGTTGAAAAAAAAAAAAAAGGCCTAGGGAACCAATGAATGTGTCAGTTAAAAACAGAGTAGGGGTGTTAGTAGATGGGGAGCTGGAGGTACCTGAAAGATGGTGGGAATATTTTGAGGAACTTTTAAATGTTGATGAAGAAAGGGAGGCAGTAATTTCATGCACTGGCCAGGGAGGTAAAACATCTTTTAGAAGTGAAGAAGAGCAGGATGTGGGTGTAGGGGAGGTGCACGAGGCATTACATAGAATGAAAGTGGGAAAAGCAGCTAGAACTGATGGGATCATGACAGAACTGTTAACCCTGAAACGGTCCAAACGTATATGTACGTTCTCTCGCATAGTACCCCAATTTTTTTGAGAAAAAAAATTGTTTTTTTTTTTAATAGGAAAAAAGAGCATATGGTACTCAGGCATCCTCACTTGTTTTAACATGGCGCACAGTGAAGTGAGCACACCCATTCTCTCATGTGTAGGTGACTCAGGCTTATCGTGGTAATGTTGAATGACAAAGAAAACATATATACGTTTGGGGTGCTACGCGAGAGAACGTATTTAGTATACGTTTGGACCATTTAAGGGTTAAGAGCAGGAGGGGATATAGTGTGGGAGTGGTTGGTATTTTTGTTTAATAAATGTATGAAAGGGAGGGAAGGTACCTAGGGATGGGCAAGAAAGTATGTACAGTTCCTTCATATGAGGGAGGGGAGACAAGAGATTGTAAAAAATTATAGGGGAACAAGTTTACCGAGTCCTAGGTAGTAGGCTGGTAGACAGCAACTGCCCAGGGAAGGTAGTACCATCCTGCCGAGGTAGTGTAAAATGAAAGCCTGTAAGTGTTTTACATGATGATAGGATTGCTGGCGTCTTTTTCCATCTCATAAATATGCAAGATTTCAGGTACATTTTGCTACTTCTACTTACACTTAGGTCACACTACACATACATGTACAAGCATATATATTACTAAATTTAAAAGGAGAAACTTTCATTTTAACTTTTGGGCCACCCTGCATCGGTGTGATACAGCCGGTTTGGTTAAAGTAGTAGTTTACTAAGTATACCAGGTAAAGTGTATGGTAGGGTTATTATTGAAAGAATTAGAAGTAAGATAGAGAGCAGGATTGCAGATGAAACAAGGCAGCTTTCGAATGGGTAGGGGTGTGTAGATCAAGTGTTCACATTGAAGCATACATGTGAACAGTACACTGGACCCCTGAGCATCGTAGTCATTGGATATCATAATACATGTATTCAGAAATCGAAACATTTTTTCATCAAAATATTGGCTCAGTGATCGTCACTTGAGCTTAGTAATAGTCATTCATCCTGAATGCGTCCACATGGCAACAGCGGCCCGACACTGTGCCATAGTTTATCAGCCAGTGAGACACAATCCCACGTTCATATGATACATTTCGTATTATTCCATTCTTTTTAGTGCATGCAACTGCTAAATAAGCCACCATAGGCCCAAAGAAAGCTCCTAGTGCCAGCCAGCCCTTTCGTAAAGGGCCGAGAGGAGGGGAAATGTGCCTTCTTCAGTGATTCTGCAATATGTACAATACTAAAGCAGTAGGAGTCAATAAAAGCTATAGCGCCAGCCAGCGATAAAGTGTAGCATTAACAGTGTAGCAAGTAAGTAAAGCAATTAATCAATAGAAAAGGACAGCATGAAACTAACTCCTCCAATGTTGTTGGAGATACATAGGGTTACTAACACCACCGCCTCTGCTGCTGCCATTACCCCCATTACGTAAGGCTTATCTTTCAGTGGCCTTTATACACCAACAACGAACAACACAACAACACTTGACAGTTAGGGAGAAAGACATATGATATTTTATTCATTCTACAGTATATATCATGTTTCTATGTTATTAATATTGTTTATGTCATATTAGATGAATTGTTCTAGATAAATAAGTCAGAGTTGATATTAGTGTCATTTTGAAGGACTATCTTGTCCTGTCTTCCCACATCCTTCCCTGTTGCTGCCACAATTCCTAACATATGCCAGAAACAGACCTCTCTGGAACACTTTTTTGAGCGACAGCAGTCCAGTGACTCAAGCTGGTCCTAGTGGCATTAAAAAACAAACACAGGTAAAGTACCTAAGTCTTTAGGAAGGAGATTCCCCTTCCAAACAGTAATTTCTCCATCCTCTCCCCTCCTCTCATCTTCAACACACTAAGAAGAGTCTTTATTAAAGTTAAGTGTCATATTATTTTATTCACGTCTCATTGTTTTCTGTGTAGGTAAATGTATATTTCATGCAAAAATTTTTTTTTTTAACCCTTTC